TATATATATATATATATATATATATATATATATATATATATATATATTAATCATTGATGTGGAAAACACCGATATATTTCTCAAAATAATTCTTTCCATTGCATTACATTTATATACAAGAAAAAAATTAAAGACTGAAAGATATGTTGTGATACACTCAACATTAATTTACAGATGAAGTTCACATTAGGACTGTTTGCCATCTTGGCCATTATCGGTCTGGGACAAGCTCACCAATTCCCGGACTTCGGCAAAGGTCCACTTCATGAAGATCTCCAAGATATTCTAGATTTAGTCCCTATAGAAAAAATTATCGATGTCGTCGTGGATTACATGATAAATGATAAAGAACTACAAGAGTTTATGAAAAAGCTGGAAGAAACAACTGTAATCAAGGACCTAATGGTAGATTTTCAAGCTATTCCCGAAGTGATCAACCTTCTTAATTATCTACATAAGGAAGGGATCGATGTCTACGATATGATAAACACAATTAACAAATCACTCAACATCAAGGAACTTATACCACCCAGCTTACAAGAGTCTCCACCGAAGAAGACCGGTGGACTTCGTGGATTCTTCAAAGACATCAGGAAACATATCGATTTTGATGCCTACGTTAGCATATATGTGGATAAACTGCAAATCTCTGATGCCTTTGTAAACTTCATCGACCAACTTAAATCCGATAATTTCCAACAGATCGTTAACAAACTTAGCAAAAGTAAGGCCTTCCAGCTCATCGTAAACCTTCTTGAGGACAAATCAGTAAATTTAAAAATTGTGGAAGATCAACTGTATCTCTTCCTCGGTATCACTGTACCAGGCCCTTCACGTAAATCATTAATAAAGGAGCTCGAGGATTTCATCAACCTTATTGATTTAGAAAAGTATTTGAATATAATAATCCAGTATATAAATGAAGACGAAAAAGTACAAAAAGCTCTATTATACACGTTCACAACTGAATTCCACGATCTGCTGCGCGCCGTCGAAGCTACTAAGGAACACCAAGCAGTCGTGGCATATTTAGAAAAGGCTGGATTCCCTGTTGTCAAAGCTATCCAGGAATTACATCATGCCATTGGTATGGAAAAATATGTACCACCCAACGTAAAGAGCTATTTCATGTCTCTAATTAAGACGCAAAAGATCGGCGATGGAATG